GTGTGAGAAGAGGCCTTTGCTCAGCAGTGGGCACTTATAGGCTGATGATGATGATGATGAGGACTTACCTGTGTGTGACTCCTTGGAGGTTGTAATAGTTAGGATTCTGTGTGAGACGGCGGTAGAGGAAGGTCCATGTGAGATAATCTACAGCATCCTGCTTGTTCTCTATAGTTTTCGTTACAATCTCAGCATTCATATGATCGTGGAGTCTGTGGTCGAGGTGGCTCTGTTGTGGAAATAAAATTAAGTTTTATTATTATTATTTTTCATGTGATAAGGCGGCAAATGAGCTTATAGATTACCTGATGGTAAGCAATCAGCGTCGCCCATGGACACCAGTAACAAGGGAAGAGTGACGAGTGCGTTGCCGACCTTTTGAGGATTCAGGGATTGGGGGAGAAGAAGGATTGGGTCATAAGCTCGACCGAAGTAGTACCAAGACCTCGCAACCCGGTGAGTGAGGTTTCCAGGCCTAATCCTTCCCCGCCCCCCCTTAATCCTCAAACCTCCTATCGTTAAATCCCTAATAACCATATAATAGAGGCCGGCAACGCAGTTGTAGTAACTACTTTGGTATTATTTATTATGTTTTCGGCTTACTCACTTAATAGTTTGACGAGATACTCGACTAGTTTCAAGCCATGCTACTTTGGTATTACAAGAGTCCATGAACGACGCCGATAGCTTTCCATCAACTAAGCCGTCGAAGAAGTAATACATTTATAATCCATCGTAAAGGTTCATAATTGATTTTTTTTTATGTAATAGGTCGGCAAACGAGACGGAGTACCTGATGGTAAGCAATCAGCGCCACCCATGGACACCCGCAACGGAGGTGTTACGAGTGCGTTGCCGACCTTTAAGAGATTAGGGATTTGGAGATTTAGGGATTGAGGAGGGATTAGGGGCGGGGAAGGATTGCCAAATGTTAAATGTGAGATATTATTAAATTGTATTGTTATAAAAAAACCTGCTTACCTCCAAGGGAAGACAGTCGTTGAGGAGTTTGGTGAAGAAGGTCTTCTGGTGGGCGACACACATGAGGACCACGACGGAATGATCGTCTTCCAGCGGCCTGCAGGCGCGTCCGATCATTTGTAGGACGGTCGTTATCGGGTACTGCTCGTACGCGTGCAGCTTGCCGTTGTAACTGTTGACCAAATCATCATCATCATCATTGAATTATATTTCATCATCATTTCATCACTACTATCAACAACATATATATTTCATGATCTCATCATCAACATCGCTATCGTGAATGCATCATGATGAATATCATGATTTCAACAACATCATCATTTCATCATTATAATCATAATAATCATCATAACCCTCTCATTCGCATCATCAACAATTTAGCGTTTCATCATCATCATAAGCATAATCATTGTCATCATTTCATTATTATTCCGTGACACTCATCACTCCATCAACATTATTTTTCCATCCTGATCATCAACCTGTCATAATAATCGTCATTATTCTATCAAAACCATCATCACCATCATCACCATCATCATTCGACCAAAATCATCACTTTATCATCAGCCCGCTATAACTCATGTACTTACACATAAGTATCAGCGATGATGACGGTGTGTACATGCGCGGCGAGTCCCCAGGCCAGCTCGGCGGCCACGACGCAGAGCGTGACGGCCCCGGACTCCAGGAGCTGCTGGACCAGGCGACGGTCCCCGGCCTCCACGCCCTCGTGCAGGTACGCCACTCCGGCTGCTAGGGTTTCCTTCAGCATCTGTCAACACCAAATACAAATTATCATCAATGAAACAATGTTCCATAAGATTAGTATAGATGGTGGTGTTACCTTATCGTTGACCCGCTTGAGGAAGGGCTGCAGCATGTCGGGGCGGGCGCGCAGGAAGGCGGCGGGCGCGCCCTGCGCGGCGGCCAGCGCCAGCAGGTCGGCGGCCAGCAGGCGCGCCGCGCGCCGGGACGGCACGAACCCGGCGGCGGGCCGCGACCCGCGTGACGCCTCACATCCATCGCAACTGTCTACACGTATACACGTGTACAACAGCCCCTTTAATCGGAGCGGGATTACCCGCCGCACCACGCAGGAAGAACAAGTCGACATTGACCCACCAGAGACCGCATCTACATCGGACCAATGGACAGGAGCGGAGGAGTCGAGCGTTAACTACAAGAAATATGCACAATTTCTTCTGAGGCAAAACTGAACTCTGAGCAGAAATTGAAGATCAAAAATCTCTGTCGTAAAGTATGCCAAGGGTTTTCCCACGTAACGTTGCAGTACCAGGCCCTGAAGAATGAGGCCCTACCGAAATGCGCTACATGCTCTCGGTTTAAAAAGCCGAGCAACCATCAAACCGGAGACGCTGATTGCCCAGCCAAAAAAGCAGCCGACAACAGGTACATAAACTCCGTAGGTATATTATGAAGGCGCCAAAGAGCGCCACCTATTTTGTAGTTTTGCTTCTAAATTAGTTTAGTTATTATGGTCACTGACTTAGTAAATTAAATAAATAATTCTTTTTTAAATGTCAGCAATTTTTGTGAAGTTGAAAACTGCAAAAGCTATCTTTCTAAAAATCCGGATTCACTAACAATAAATAATTCTGACCCAAAACATACGTAGCTTATATGAAAATATAGATAGTTTACATGTACAACAACGACTTAACTTCACCTGTGACATTATCGTTCTAACAGAGTGTTGGCTAACAAATAGATCCGATAACCTTCCCAACATTCAGGGATATAACGTCTTGAACGGGTTAAACCCGCCCCAAGAGGGAGTTTATTGCGACGCGATGCGCAAATCTTATCTGCTATTTGATACAGATTTGTATATGGGATGAATTGGGGCATAATTATGAGACTAATATAAACATAAAAGGTGGTTGTTTACAAAGAAAATAATAATGATTGTGTTTGAGTGTGGTAATGTGTGTAATGTGTACGTGCGTGCTAGTGTGTATGAGTGTTGTTTAAGTGTTATTGAAATTTTTGAGGGTATTTGCGATGTATGTGAGGTGTGTCATGAAGGTGTTTGTGGTGTTGGTGACATAGTTGTTCGTGTGTAAAGCGGGTGTTTATGTATCGTGGACAGTGTGTTAAGAGGTGTAGGAATGTGTGTATTGAGGTGCCGTCACAGGGGCATCTGCCATCGTTGGTGATATGGAAGCTGTATAGGTATGATTTATGATAGCCATGGTTGGTGAGAAGTTGAGTGAGGGCGTGTGTGAGAGTTCTTATGGTAGCTCCCTTAAGGTTTTTGATGTAAGATTCGGCGGCTGTATTGTAGCTATCGATATTAGCAAGTTTTTTTTGATAGCTTAGTGGAAAGTTGTCAAAAATAGGTGAGGTGGATAGATCCGCTGCGGCCTTGGCTGCCAGGTCCGCAGCCTCATTGCCACATATGGGCTCTGGTCCAGATAAAAATGATTTTGAGTGTGTTGAGTGTTTTTTGAATGTTGTTAGTGATACAGTGTGTGCTGAGTGGGTTGTTAATGTCTTTCAGGGCCGACCTAAAGTCAGGCATAATGACGGCGTCTGAAGCAGTCTGCGTGCGAAGCCATTGGCACGCTTGGTCTACAAGTTCAGCCTGAAAAACTGAACTCGAGGAGTGTAATTTATATTTTTTGGTGATGATAGTATTTAGTGGAGTGTGCAATGAAGGCAGCTCCTACAACATCGTTGTTTGCTGCCATCGGTGTTAATGTGGTGTACGTTAAGATGATGGATATAATTCAACTATATTAGCCTTGTCACTAACTCTACATTAACTGATCATCATGCTGTTTTACTAATATTAAACATCTCGCTACCGAAGCACAATCGTCATCAATTTAGGTCTCAATTTAAGGGGTTTCGGGGATATAGTAATATATAAAAAACTACATGAAGCCATCATTCCATATCTGACTACTCTGAGAAGAAATGGCGAAACAAACTTATCCTTCATGAAGCCCAAAACAGGGTGCACGTGGCTCCCCAACTCCTGAAGAGTCAAAGTCAACCTCACCTGCAGGCGGCGCACCCTGCTGACTCACAGACGAGGCTCTGCCGCTCCTGACCTTTCCGACGTTTCCAATGAGCTGGTGACTGCTTACCATCAGGTGTCATAGAAATAGATTAAGTCAGCCTTCTTTTATTTAGATTGGCAACAGTGCATAAGTCATTCCTGGGATTCTGTGTTAAATGTAAGCAATGAATTATAAAACTGATTGTAAAAGAGTAACCATGGAGTTTGTTGCTCGTTCTTCTTCATAGGAATCTACACTTTGGAACGAGCAAATAGCTTCACTAGAGGACAGACGGACAGACTGTTAAATATTTTTTCTTTTTTTATGCTTGACGTTCAAAAGTGCGTTATATTTAAAAGAAATGATTTGAACTTTGACTTTGTCATCCGACTACTCATTTTCCCCAGAAGTCAACCAACATCTTTGAAGAGTTCAGTGTCTTATATTGAGGAAGACGGGGTTTCAGGTGTGATTCCACTGAAGAAGTTCTATAGACAATGGATTCCTGTGTTTAGGACTTCTTGCCTTAGAAAGGCATCTGTTAGGAGTAGATGTACTACACATTCACAACGTCTGCATAACATACCTATCTCCAATTGTGTAGTTTCCAAGGTCAAAAATAAATTAATTCGACGTTTCAATACAATCAAATATTGAAAAACAACTATACTTTTATTTATCGATCGATCGATACACTAAGTTTTAGGTTCTTTTAGCTAATTTTTAAGAAATAAGTAAGCTATTTGACGCAAAAATGTTATGACGTCATAGCTCAGTTTTTCATTCAAATTTCATAGAAAGGTATCGTTTTTGACGTTTGGATAAAAGTATTGAATTTGACTTGTTGGAAACTACAGTATTCTTAAACATCAGATTGTATATAATTAGGTTAAGCTACTGTTTATATTAAAAAATAATATAAACGAGCTCGTAGCTCCAGTATAGGAGTATTCCTCGTGTATATATATAGGATATAGGGTAAGAGTAAAACAGCAAAGACAAGTATCGAATGGTTTATTCCGAGTCGCTGGAGTCCGAGGCGGCCTCTGCGACCTCGGCGGTGAACCTATACTCCTGGTCCGCGCCGAGGTACGCGTCCGACATGAAGTATAAAGTGTACGTGTGGCGCCCTGGGGCTCCGCAGACGAAGTCCAGCCGCACCTGGGGAGTACATAGTCATTGTCAGATATACAGGAGCCAGTAGCGATGCTGAGCATGGCTTGTGGCTTGGCTCCAAGTGCTTACCTTGGCGGTGCGGGCCAGCGACACTCGCTTGATGGACAGCAGAGTGTTCGTCTTCGGGTCTCCGATCACCACCCACCAGCCTTCCTCGCGTTTCTGAAACGTTACAGTTTGAGTATGAGAGCACTGGGGTCTGGAGGCAGTGCATAGACAAAGTGTCGTCTGGACAATGAGTGTATGAGCTATGAGCCCTCGGTACCGACCTGCGGGAAGAAGGGCGCGATGACAGGGCCGGCGATATCGTCCTCTCTCTCTAGCGAGACCTCGACTACGACGGGCTTGCCGGCGCGCAGGTGGCGCTCGTTCACCACCTGAGAAATGTATCAATGTATCATATAGCCCACGTACATGTATGGGGCTATATCTCACGCGGGTCTGCTCACCTCGTAAGTCAGTTCGACGTTAGGGTATCTGTTACAGAACCGCGCCACGTCCGCCATCTCTGTCGGTGACAGCTGAAGCAGTTTGGCGCGAGCGTTGTCTTCTAGTTCCATCACGTCGAACACCGTCTCGACTCCCTGGCGGACACGAATCACTTAGAACGGCTCTTATATGTAAATGGATTTATACTTTAGGAATGTAGACGAGTACCTTCTCGGAGCACCGGTGCACCAGGTCTGCCGTGAAGTGAGGCAGCTGGCGGAGGTACGAGTCCTTGGCCCACATCGCCTGCGTCACCATCTGCGCCAGCTCCATGGCCGCCACTGCTGGGGACAGCCACCCACTGCTGGACACCACGTCCACGCACGCTTGGATCAGCCGGATGGCCTGCGGAGATGGCTCGATGCTTACATTTGTAGCTCAGTGGGACACTCGGAGGCTGGTGAGGATGATGGCTGAAGATGTCTGACCTTGGCGAGTACGAGCGCAGTATCGGCCTGCAGTTCGGCGGGCAGCTGCATGCGGGAGAGGTGTGCCTGCAGGAGCACGTGCGCCTTCACGTGCGGGTCGTTGTACTTCACCGGGCCGGACGCCGAGCTCGGCTTGTGGGGGACCCTGGGGGAAGTCCTCAGTACATAGCATGGCCTTACATCTAGACCTACTGGACACCAATACTTCGCGTCCACAAGCGGATACAAGGCGTCCCTAGTCTATACTAATATTATAAAGAGGTAAAATTCGGAAGTTTATGTATGTAGGGGGTAATCTTTGCAACCGCTGGTCGGATTGCCAAAGTTCTTTCACTGATAGATAGCTACAATGTTCCTCAGGGCTATTAGCTATAAAACGTAACGCTACTATTAAATGGAACCGAGTAGCGGGTCAAACCGCGCGAAAGTAGCTATACTCGGAATTTTAATTCCATTCCAGATTTGACAATTTCAGTGTTGCAACGTTATGACACGTAATAAATAGTGACGTTGCGAAATTATTCGATATGGAAATCGAATATTTCTGAATCGATTCCTCTCGTTTATAAATTTACTCTCGTAAACTAAGTTTATCAGGAAATAAAATATTTCTGAACCGATAATTTAGTTTTGACAATTAATTAACGATCTGAGACTTTTCTTTTGTAATTGTGTGTGAAATTAATAAAAAATGTGATCATGAAGAAACGTGACAAATAAAACAGACATTTTTTAAATTGTCGCCGTCATCGCTATCGCTATCGCCGTTACTCAATGTAACATTTATTATGAATTCTGTCTTTGATATTTATTGTCAACTAACATATCTAGCTTACTCATTTTTTCCTCCTCTTTGAAAACATGGGATACACATTTAGACCATTCGGTAGCCGTTATTTTTTGAATGCCTTCCAGAAACTGATTCACTGATTGCTTATCGATTTTTGTGTTCATCACTACACTGTTATATGTGGTATCATTATTTCACAAAATGGCAGTGGTCAATGTCAAATCAGGAATCGAATTAAAAGTCTGACTATAGTATTATATATAGATATTAGGGACGCCTTATTGCTCCCAGTAAACGTGTCCAGAGAAATGGAGCGCTAACATATTGATACAGAAGAGGCGTGAATAAATACTAGGAAAATTCTTTGTGTAGCGAAATAATTACTGTTCACTCACTTAGCAGCTAGCGCCTTGATGATATTCTCCTCGCGATGTCTGATGCAGAGTTCCGAGTACTCCGCGGCCGAGGATATGATCTCCAGCAGGCCACGGATCTTGGTCTTATTTGTAAGGGAGAGGGAGAACAGCTCTGTAACAAATTTAATGATAAATTTGTATTTTTGTGGGACACTAGCGACCCGCCCTGGCTTCGCACGGGTGTAAATTTCTCCACTATTAAAGTCAAAATAATTTATTTCAAGTAGACCAAAGTGGACACTTTTGAACGTCAAGCAAAAAAGGAAAAAGAAAATATATTTCAAGAGCTTTAACTTTATGCGTGTCAGTCTGTCCGTCTGTCCTCTAGTGAAGCTATTTGCTCGTTCCAAAGTGTAGATTCCTATGGAGAAGAACGAGCAACAAACTCCATGGTTACTCTTTTCAATCAGTTTTACAATACATTTCTTTGTTATGTTGTATATTGTATATAATGGATGTTATTATACATACAAAATCTTCCTCTTCAATCACACTACTATATGTTTAAAAAAACATATTATCACTACATAGTATAACAGGATAGAGAAAGCGAATTTCTTTGTCCTAATGTACGCGTAAACCTAAAACTACGTAACAGACTTTAATGCGGTTTTTTTAATAGACAGAGTGATTGAAGAGGAAGGTTTATATGTATTATTTATTATAATTATTTATATAACATCCATTAAATAGTGGAGAAATTAAGTATTAGCATTGCACCCGAGCGAAGAAGAGCGGGACCAATTTTCTCTTTAAAAAACCGTTAGGATTTACTCTAGTATTTTCTTCTGTGTCGTGGGTACAAACATACACACATACACATACACCCAGGTGTGATGTATATGTTTGTAACCGCACCAGTTTTCCAGGTCTGGACCCGGAACAACAATTCGTGGATCACACAAAGAGTTGTTCCGTGCGGGAATCGAACCCGTGAAACGATGCACGGCAGCTAGTTGTCCAGCCACCGCATTAAAGGTGTAGTCGAAGTCGGGTCGGTAGTAATATATATGAAAATATCTTTGTATAGATTGCTATAATAAATTTACCTATAGTAGTATAGTTTATGTAATAGTATGACGCGATCATTCCCAGGTTCAGGGGCTGGACATCCATGTCATCCTCGATGGCGATGCACTTGGACTGCTCCAGGTCCGTGAGGGTCGTCTCCACCAGCTCCGAGAGGTGATCTGATAGATGCCTGGTGGGAATAGAGAAATATTTAGCTTACATGGAGGTCGTCATACACGAAGAGTAACAGTAGTTTCCAACTATTCAAATTCAATACTTTTATCCAAATGTCAAAAACGATACTTTTCTATGAAACTTGTATGAAACACTGAGATATGACGTTATAGCATTTTTGCGTCAAAATAGCTTACTTATTTCTTAAAAATTTGCTAAAAAATTATCTAAAACTTAGTGTATTGATCGATCGATAAATAAAAGTATAGTTATTTTTCAATATTTTATTGTATTGATTGAAACGTCGAATTAATTTATTTTTAACCTAGGAAACTACCCAATTGTTGTTCCGAGTCTGGGTGTGATGCACCCAAGATTAAGCGTGGTGGTTATTGCTCAAACCTTCTCCGTGTGAGAAGAGGCCTTTGCTCAGCAGTGGGCACTTATAGGCTGATGATGATGAAATGGACTTACCTGTGCGTGACTCCTTGGAGGTTGTAATAGTTAGGATTCTGTGTGAGACGGCGGTAGAGGAAGGTCCATGTGAGATAATCTACAGCATCCTGCTTGTTCTCTATAGTTTTCGTTACAATCTCAGCATTCATATGATCGTGGAGTCTGTGATCGAGGTGGCTCTGTTATGGAAATAAAATACATAGTTTTATTATTATTATTTTTCATGTGATAAGGCGGCAAATGAGCAGACGGATTACCTGATGGTAAGCAATCGGCGCCACCCATGGACACCAGTAACAAGGGAAGAGTGACGAGTGCGTTGCCGACCTTTTGAGGATTCAGAGATTGGGGGAGAAGAAGGATTGGGTCATAAGCTCGAACGAAGTAGTACCAAGACCTCGCAACCCGGTGAGTGAGGTTTCCAGGCTTAATCCTTCTCCGCCCCCCCTAATCCTCAAACCTCCTATCGTTAAATCCTTAATAACCAACTAGAAGTCGGCAACGCTCTTGTAGTAACTACTTTGGTATTATTTATTATGTTTTCGGCTTACTCACGTAATAATTTGACGAGATACTCGACTAGTTTCAAGCCATGCTACTTTGGTATTACAAGAGTCCATGGACGACGCCGATAGCTTCCCATCAACGAAGCGGTCAAAGAAGTAATACATTCATAATCCATCGTACAGGTTCATAATTGGTTTACAATAAAAAATAAATACTAATATAATTTAACGACAAAAATACAAAGCGTACACGATCTATTTAGCCAAATGTTAAATGTGAGATATTATTAAATTGTATTGTTAAAAAAACCTGCTTACCTCCAAGGGAAGACAGTCGTTGAGGAGTTTGGTGAAGAAGGTCTTCTGGTGGGCGACACACATGAGGACCACGACGGAATGATCGTCTTCCAGCGGCCTGCAGGCGCGTCCGATCATTTGTAGGACGGTCGTTATCGGGTACTGCTCGTACGCGTGCAGCTTGCCGTTGTAACTGTTGACCAAATCATCATCATCATCATTGAATTATATTTCGTCATCATTTCATCACCAATATCGGTCGTCTGATCTCACTTTTTGCCATGACTCCATCATCTACATCGTCACCATAATAACATCATTATACATTATTACGATTTCATCATCATCAAGCTTTTACTGTCATAATAAAAATCATTTCATTTTTTATCACACCCAGACCCGGAACAACAATTTGTGGACTATATAAAGAGTTGTTCTGTGCTGAAATCGAACCCGCGACACGTTGCACGGCAACCGGTTGCCTAGCCACTGCATCATCATCAAAATTATTGATCAAAATCAATCAAATCATTTCAAAATGTTTATCATTTCATCATCACGACCATTCTATCATAACCATCATCATTATCATAATCATGTCATCATCCTACTCATTTATTCATTATTAATTCATCATCATTCCTACAAATTCGTCATCATCATCATCATCCCACCACAATCATCATCAAATCATCATCAAACTATCACCATCATTTCTCCAAAATCATCATCAATCTACCAAAATCGTCATCAAACTATCATCATCATTCCTCCAAAATCATCATCAATATACCAAAATCATCATCAATATACCAAAATCATCATCAATATACCAAAATCATCACCATTCCACCAAAATCATCATCAAACTATCATCATCATTCCTCCAAAATCATCACCAATATACCAAAATCATCATCAATATACCAAAATCATCATCAATTTACCAAAATCATCACCATTCCACCAAAATCATCATCAAACTGTCATCATCATTCCTCCAAAATCATTATCAATATACCAAAATCATCATCAATCTACCAAAATCATCATCAAACCATCATCATCATTCCACCAAAATCATCATCAAACTATCATCATCATTCCTCCAAAATTATCATGCCATAATCATCATCATTCCACCAAAATCATCATTGTATCATCAGCCCGCTACAACTCATGTACTTACACATAAGTATCAGCGATGATGACGGTGTGTACATGCGCGGCGAGTCCCCAGGCCAGCTCGGCGGCCACGACGCAGAGCGTGACGGCCCCGGACTCCAGGAGCTGCTGGACCAGGCGACGGTCCCCGGCCTCCACGCCCTCGTGCAGGTACGCCACTCCGGCTGCTAGGGTTTCCTTCAGCATCTGTCAACACCAAATACAAATTATCATTAATGAAACAATGTTCCATAAGATTAGTATAGATGGTGGTGTTACCTTATCGTTGACCCGCTTGAGGAAGGGCTGCAGCATGTCGGGGCGGGCGCGCAGGAAGGCGGCGGGCGCGCCCTGCGCGGCGGCCAGCGCCAGCAGGTCGGCGGCCAGCAGGCGCGCCGCGCGCCGGGACGGCACGAACCCGGCGGCGGGCCGCGACCCGCGTGACGCCTCACATCCATCGCAACTGTCTACACGTATACACGTGTACAACAGCCCCTTCAATCGGAGCGGGATTACCCGCCGCAGCCCTCGGCAGCGGAGGCTGACCCACCAGAGACCGCATCTACATCAGATCTGCACCAATGGACAGGAGAGACAGTCGAGCGTTACCTACAAGAAATATGCACAATTTCTTCTGAGGGAAAACTGAACTCTGAGCAGAAATTGAAGATCAACAATCTCTGTCGTAAAGTATGCCAAGGGTTTTCCCACGTAACGTTGCAGTACCAGGCCCTGAAGGATGAGGCCCTACCGAAATGCGCTACATGCTCTCGGTTTAAAAAGCCGAGCAACCATCAAATCGGAGACGCTGATTGACCAGCCAAAAAAGCAGCCGACAACAGGTACATAAACTCCGTAGGTATATTATGAAGGCGCCAAAGAGCGCCACCTATTTTGTAGTTTTGCTTCTAAATTAGTTTAGTTATTATGGTCACTGACTTAGTAAATGAAATAAATAATTCTTTTTTAAATGTCAGCAACTTTTTTGAAGTTGAAAACTGCAAAACTATGTTTCCAAAAATCCGGATTCACTAACAATTCGAACCCAAAACATACGTAGCTTATATGAAAATATAGATAGTTTACATGTACTATTACAACGACTTAACTTCACCTGTGACATTATCGTTCTAACAGAGTGTTGGCTAACAAATAGATCCGATAACCTTCCCAACATTCAGGGATATAACGTCTTCTGTAATACTGAAAATACCAGCTAAAACGAAGGAGTCGTGGTCTATGCTAAAGACTCAATAAAAGATGCTGTAGAGGAACCTAATACACCAGGATGCAATTGTTTGGTCATTAAAATGAATACAACTACAGCAATAATAGCTATTTACAGACCACCCTCCTTCAGAAACATAGATTCGTTTCTACGCTCATTAAATCAGACATGTCAAACACTAACCTCATTTAGAAATATTGTAGGTACTTACAGGTGATATAAATATTAACGTAAATTCCGAGAATTATGACTCAGGAACACAGGATTATAACAATTTATGTGCATATCATGGGCTCTTAGCAGCTCATACATTGTCAACACATCAAAGCGGTTCCTGTTTGGACCATATGATAGTGAAATCTAACTCAAACTATATTAGCCTTGTCACTAATTCTACATTAACTGCACGTGCGTCGATTCTATAAAATTTGTTTGATTTTGAATCTAGTTCGAGTGTGAAGTGAGCGTCGAAGTAACAGGAAAATTACATTTTGGAATGCCACTTTTAATGCCATCTCATACTTTATCTATCAAAATGTTGCGGTCAATTTAGTTCAACTCTCAAGTGTAGCGCTAGTGTACTACTACTCACAGCGGATTCAGATTTGAAGTTTATAATGAAGTCTTACAGAATCACACTGCTGATCATCATGCTGTTTTAGGTACTAATATTAAACATCTCGCTACCGAAGCACAATCGTCATCAATTTAGGTCTCAATTTAAGGGGTTTCGGGGAGGGTCCGCTAGTTGTATGTAGATATGTAAAAAACTACATGAAGCCATCATTTCATATCTGACTACTCTGAGAAGAAATGGCGAAACAAACTTATCCTTTATGAAGCCCAAGCAGGGTGCATGTGGCTCCCCCAACACATGAAGAGTCAAAGTCAAACTCACCTGCAGGCGGCGCACCCTGCTGACTCACAGACGAGGCTCTGCCGCTCCTGACCTTCCCCAATGTGACTTGTGAACCAAGATCAACAACGCACTTGTAACTCCTTTGGCGCTTCCTATGAGCTGGTGACTGCTTACCATCAGGTGTCATAGGAACGGATTAAGTCAGCCTTTATTTAGATTGGCAAAAGTGCATAAGTCATTCCTGGGATTCTGTGTTAAATGTTAGAAGTGAGTTGTAAAACTGATTGAAAAAGAGTAACCATGGAGTTTGTTGCTCGTTCTTCTTCATTAGAATCTACACTTTGGAACGAGCAAATAGCTTCATTTGAGGACAGACAGACAGGCTGACACGCAGAAAGTTAAAGCTCTTGAAATATATTTTCTTATTTTTATGCTTGATGTTCAAAAGTGCGGTCTATTAAAAATAAATGATTTGAACTTTGACTTTGTGATCCTATTCTCATTTTCCCCAGAAGTCAACCAACATCTTTGAAGACTTCAGTGTCTTATATTGAGGAAGACGAGGTTTCAGGTGTGATTCCACTGAAGAAATTCTACAGACAATGCATTCCTGTGTTTAGGACTTCTTGCCTTAGAAAGGCATCTGTTAGGAGTAGATGTATTACACATTCACAACGTCTGCATAACATACCTATCTCCAATTGTGTAGTTTCCAAGGTCAAAAATAAATTAATTCGACGTTTCAATACAATCAAATATTGAAAAACAACTATACTTTTATTTATCGATCGATCGATACAATAAGTTTTAGGTTCTTTTAGCTAATTTTTAAGAAATAAGTAAGCTATTTGACGCAAAAATGTTATGTCATAGCTCAGTTTTTCATTCAAATTTCATAGAAAAGTATCGTTTTTGACGTTTGGATAAAAGTATTGAATTTGACTTGTTGGAAACTACAGTATTCTTAAACATCAGATTGTATATAATTAGATTAAGCTACTGTTTATATTAACATTTACTGAAACTTGGTATTTTTTCTGACAGGAAAATAATATAAACGAGCTCGTAGCTCTAGTGTGGGACTATTCCTTGTATAGTAGTCTAGTATAGGATATAGGGTAAGAGTAAAACAGCAAAGACAAGTATCGAATGGTTTATTCCGAGTCGCTGGAGTCCGAGGCGGCCTCTGCGACATCGGCGGTGAACCTATACTCCTGGTCCGCGCCGAGGTACGCGTCCGACATGAAGTATAAAGTGTACGTGTGGCGCCCTGGGGCTCCGCAGACGAAGTCCAGCCGCACCTGGGGAGTACATAGTCATTGTCAGATATACAGGAGCCAGTAGCGATGCTGAGCATGGCTTGTGGCTTGGCTCCAAGTGCTTACCTTGGCGGTGCGGGCCAGCGACACTCGCTTGATGGACAGCAGAGTGTTCGTCTTCGGGTCTCCGATCACCACCCACCAGCCTTCCTCGCGTTTCTGAAACGTTACAGTTTGAGTATGAGAGCACTGGGGTCTGGAGGCAGTGCATAGACAAAGTGTCGTCTGGACAATGAGTGTATGAGCTATGAGCCCTCGGTACCGACCTGCGGGAAGAAGGGCGCGATGACAGGGCCGGCGATATCGTCCTCTCTCTCTAGCGAGACCTCGACTACGACGGGCTTGCCGGCGCGCAGGTGGCGCTCGTTCACCACCTGAGAAATGTATCAATGTATCATATAGCCCACGTACATGTATGGGGCTATATCTCACGCGGGTCTGCTCACCTCGTAAGTCAGTTCGACGTTAGGGTATCTGTTACAGAACCGCGCCACGTCCGCCATCTCTGTCGGTGACAGCTGAAGCAGTTTGGCGCGAGCGTTGTCTTCTAGTTCCATCACGTCGAACACCGTCTCGACTCCCTGGCGGACACGAATCACTTAGAACGGCTCTTATATGTAAATGGATTTATACTTTAGGAATGTAGACGAGTACCTTCTCGGAGCACCGGTGCACCAGGTCTGCCGTGAAGTGAGGCAGCTGGCGGAGGTACGAGTCCTTGGCCCACATCGCCTGCGTCACCATCTGCGCCAGCTCCATGGCCGCCACTGCTGGGGACAGCCACCCACTGCTGGACACCACGTCCACGCACGCTTGGATCAGCCGGATGGCCTGCGGAGATGGCTCGATGCTTACATTTGTAGCTCAGTGGGACACTCGGAGGCTGGTGAGGATGATGGCTGAAGATGTCTGACCTTGGCGAGTACGAGCGCAGTATCGGCCTGCAGTTCGGCGGGCAGCTGCATGCGGGAGAGGTGTGCCTGCAGGAGCACGTGCGCCTTCACGTGCGGGTCGTTGTACTTCACCGGGCCGGACGCCGAGCTCGGCTTGTGGGGGACCCTGGGGGAAGTCCTCAGTACATAGCATGGCCTTACATCTAGACCTACTGGACACCAATACTTCGCGTCCACAAGCGGATACAAGGCGTCCCTAGTCTATACTAATATTATAAAGAGGTAAAATTCGGAAGTTTATGTATGTAGGGGGTAATCTTTGCAACCGCTGGTCGGATTGCCAAAGTTCTTTCACTGATAGATAGCTACAATGTTCCTCAGGGCTATTAGCTATAAAACGTAACGCTACTATTAAATGGAACCGAGTAGCGGGTCAAACCGCGCGAAAGTAGCTATACTCGGAATTTTAATTCCATTCCAGATTTGACAATTTCAGTGTTGCAACGTTATGACACGTAATAAATAGTGACGTTGCGAAATTATTCGATATGGAAATCGAATATTTCTGAATCGATTCCTCTCGTTTATAAATTTACTCTCGTAAACTAAGTTTATCAGGAAATAAAATATTTCTGAACCGATAATTTAGTTTTGACAATTAATTAACGATCTGAGACTTTTCTTTTGTAATTGTGTGTGAAATTAATAAAAAATGTGATCATGAAGAAACGTGACAAATAAAACAGACATTTTTTAAATTGTCGCCGTCATCGCTATCGCTATCGCCGTTACTCAATGTAACATTTATTATGAATTCTGTCTTTGATATTTATTGTCAACTAACATATCTAGCTTACTCATTTTTTCCTCCTCTTTGAAAACATGGGATACACATTTAGACCATTCGGTAGCCGTTATTTTTTGAATGCCTTCCAGAAACTGATTCACTGATTGCTTATCGATTTTTGTGTTCATCACTACACTGTTATATGTGGTATCATTATTTCACAAAATGGCAGTGGTCAATGTCAAATCAGGAATCGAATTAAAAGTCTGACTATAGTATTATATATAGATATTAGGGACGCCTTATTGCTCCCAGTAAACGTGTCCAGAGAAATGGAGCGCTAACATATTGATACAGAAGAGGCGTGAATAAATACTAGGAAAATTCTTTGTGTAGCGAAATAATTACTGTTCACTCACTTAGCAGCTAGCGCCTTGATGATATTCTCCTCGCGATGTCTGATGCAGAGTTCCGAGTACTCCGCGGCCGAGGATATGATCTCCAGCAGGCCACGGATCTTGGTCTTATTTGTAAGGGAGAGGGAGAACAGCTCTGTAACAAATTTAATGATAAATTTGTATTTTTGTGGGACACTAGCGACCCGCCCTGGCTTCGCACGGGTGTAAATTTCTCCACTATTAAAGTCAAAATAATTTATTTCAAGTAGACCAAAGTGGACACTTTTGAACGTCAAGCAAAAAAGGAAAAAGAAAATATATTTCAAGAGCTTTAACTTTATGCGTGTCAGTCTGTCCGTCTGTCCTCTAGTGAAGCTATTTGCTCGTTCCAAAGTGTAGATTCCTATGGAGAAGAACGAGCAACAAACTCCATGGTTACTCTTTTCAATCAGTTTTACAATACATTTCTTTGTTATGTTGTATATTGTATATAATGGATGTTATTATACATACAAAATCTTCCTCTTCAATCACACTACTATATGTTTAAAAAAACATATTATCACTACATAGTATAACAGGATAGAGAAAGCGAATTTCTTTGTCCTAATGTACGCGTAAACCTAAAACTACGTAACAGACTTTAATGCGGTTTTTTTAATAGACAGAGTGATTGAAGAGGAAGGTTTATATGTATTATTTATTATAATTATTTATATAACATCCATTAAATAGTGGAGAAATTAAGTATTAGCATTGCACCCGAGCGAAGAAGAGCGGGACCAATTTTCTCTTTAAAAAACCGTTAGGATTTACTCTAGTATTTTCTTCTGTGTCGTGGGTACAAACATACACACATACACATACACCCAGGTGTGATGTATATGTTTGTAACCGCACCAGTTTTCCAGGTCTGGACCCGGAACAACAATTCGTGGATCACACAAAGAGTTGTTCCGTGCGGGAATCGAACCCGTGAAACGATGCACGGCAGCTAGTTGTCCAGCCACCGCATTAAAGGTGTAGTCGAAGTCGGGTCGGTAGTAATATATATGAAAATATCTTTGTATAGATTGCTATAATAAATTTACCTATAGTAGTATAGTTTATGTAATAGTATGACGCGATCATTCCCAGGTTCAGGGGCTGGACATCCATGTCATCCTCGATGGCGATGCACTTGGACTGCTCCAGGTCCGTGAGGGTCGTCTCCACCAGCTCCGAGAGGTGATCTGATAGATGCCTGGTGGGAATAGAGAAATATTTAGCTTACATGGAGGTCGTCATACACGAAGAGTAACAGTAGTTTCCAACTATTCAAATTCAATACTTTTATCCAAATGTCAAAAACGATACTTTTCTATGAAACTTGTATGAAACACTGAGATATGACGTTATAGCATTTTTGCGTCAAAATAGCTTACTTATTTCTTAAAAATTTGCTAAAAAATTATCTAAAACTTAGTGTATTGATCGATCGATAAATAAAAGTATAGTTATTTTTCAATATTTTATTGTATTGATTGAAACGTCGAATTAATTTATTTTTAACCTAGGAAACTACCCAATTGTTGTTCCGAGTCTGGGTGTGATGCACCCAAGATTAAGCGTGGTGGTTATTGCTCAAACCTTCTCCGTGTGAGAAGAGGCCTTTGCTCAGCAGTGGGCACTTATAGGCTGATGATGATGAAATGGACTTACCTGTGCGTGACTCCTTGGAGGTTGTAATAGTTAGGATTCTGTGTGAGACGGCGGTAGAGGAAGGTCCATGTGAGATAATCTACAGCATC